GTGATCACTCTGATAAGTAGGAGCAGCAAATAGAGCTTCTGTGCTCAGAGCTGGATCTCTTTGCCTGAAATGGCAATTTTAGGGATATCCATTCCGTTGGGCATCTTTCTTTGCCTTTAGACAACAATTCTGATGGCAAAAGAGCCAAACGGGACAGGCAAAAAAAAAAAAAAAAAAAAAGGGATATCCATTCTTGATACAGATCATAGGTAGGAAGTTTTAGCTCACAGGGATATTGATACATATGCTGAAACTTTGAGCATGCTTAACATGGGTATCTAATATCGACAGAAAATAATAAAGATCAGAATAGGTTGATTCTAAGGTGAGCTTTAGGTGTGTGGCATATTAAGGTCAGCTTCGGGTCAGGAAAGCTTTAGGTTCAGGTTAGGATTTAGCTGTGACTGACAGGCCTAGTGCTGCGTGTGTGTTTGTGCCCTGAGGTATCAGTTGGGGCTGTTCTTAAGGAGGCTGACAGGTGATGACGCTCAGTCTTGCTGCCTTGCTGCTGCTGTTGCAGATAAACTCCTCTCTGAACATCAGCACTACTGTTTATATTCCTATCCTGCACATTAGCGCCACAATGGGAAGAGAGGGCTCTTAAAAATTCATGAGGAACCACTGCATTAAGTTTTCATGAGTTCCTTTCACCGGCTCCCATGGGATGGTTTTCCTGCTGCCTGCTCTGCAGCAATAAAACTGGGAAATCCAGAAAACACATGAGTGGCTGAGGGGAAAGGAAGTGAGGTAGATCTAAACCGAAGACTAGATGGAGCCTGCTGCTGTACAGTCATTGTTACAGCGCGATTTGGTAAGGTGTGGCACTCAGCAGGCCACTCCTGATGTGAGTGAAAATCATATTTGTTCAACTATTAACCCTGTGGAGTCTCTGCCATTTTAATCTTCCCCTTCCCTCTCGTGCCTCCCCCCCTTTGAACTAAATTGTGTTCTGTGTATTCAAAAATGTAACTGATGTCATGTTTATGGTTTATGGTATCTGTTTTTAGACCATAGTGTGAAAAATGTTCCAGAATAAAACTGTGTTGAGAATGAACTGGACCTCTCTGCTGTGTTTACAAAGTTAAAACGTTATAATGAAGTTATGACATGGCCTGCTGTGGGGTACAGGTCAACCTGTCAGTTTTTAAAGTGACACTCGATTACAGGATTGAGACCATAGAGTCATTGGGTAAGTAAATACTGAGGTCACAGATCAAGGGTCATTCCCTGATACACTTCCAAATAATTAGAGCTCATTTTAAAGGAACAAGAGTTGCCCCCTGCTGGCCATTACAAAAACTTAAGCACTGGCTTCCCATTTTTAGACCTTGGCAGTAAATAAATTTTTTTATATACAGCCTATGAGAGAAACCAGGAAACATACACATTGGAGAAGCATGCCACCTTTGACTGATCTGGACAGGGACCTATCAGTCCCTACATCTAGCTGGTGTTGCCCAAAAGCAGGTTGCAGCATTATTTGGAGTGAGCCATGGTACCATCTCCAGAGTAAATGCCAAGTTCTTTATAAAGGGGGATCCCTGACAGGCCTCTCAAGAAGGCAACACCACAAGAAGACAGTTTCTTCGCCCTGTCAGCACTTAGGACCTGTAGGCTTCTTCTACATATTTACAATCGAGGTTTGCAGAACGATATGGCTGACCGCTCTACACCCAGACAATCCGGAAAGGACTGCATGCAGCCAGTCTCCAGCCTTACAGGGCTACTAGGATCCCACTGAACACTTGTGGGATCAGCTTGAAAAAGCTCTTTGTGGTAGAGTGACCAACACAACCGCATTGGTTGACTTGAGAAAAATGCTGGTTGAAAAACTGGGATGCACCCAACGGCAGTGTGTGAACAAGCAGGTGACCAGCAGGCTGTTCTAGCAGTGTATGGTTCTTCCACATGCCTTTGTGGTCCTTGTCTGTTAAATTAAGAACTTGTTAAATGACCTATATGTATTGTTTGTTCAGACTTTAATCATCCAAATCAATAAACAATAACAAATAAAGATCAATAGCAGAATAAGGTGTTTGGGACTGGTAGAGAAGATTTGGCAGAGTTTTTCATGGGCGCAACCTGCATACTCAACTCTGCTTTTCAACTCTGCTTCTCAACTCTGCTTCTCAACCCACAAATGCATTTTTCTTATTAATGTGGCACCACTGACGGGGAAATAAACAGCCTTTCCAACGCCATAAGGTCAGTACAACAAAGAAATAACTGCTACGCTTATATTGAACTGTACTGCAGTACCTTGGGAAATATTGAACATGTAACTCTCACAGTACACTGACAAAAATGCTGTATGCAAACAAAGATACTTACATTACAGTAACGCCTCTCCTTTTACGCTGTGTGCCCTGATTACTGTAAATACCAGTCTGGTAATAGTATAACTGTAGAGCTTCATCAAGCATAAACATTTTTTTTATCATCATCATCCTGAAATAGAGTAATTGTTTTATTCTGGAGAATTTTCTGTTTTAAAGTTCTCTGTGAAGAAGAAAAATGTAACACCTGACAGATCAGAATAGAATGGAATAGCCCTTTATTTTCATTCTACATAAACAATTAAAATGTGTATATGTATACTTTAAATGTGGAGTACTTTTACTCAAGTACAGCCTTTGAACATTTCTTCAAGTACTGAACTTCGCAGCTGAAATCTGGCAAAGAGGAAATGGAGGAAAAGTCAATGCTTTGTGACATGTTGTATTCACTTCACTTCTGCTGCTTTGTGCACGAGTGGATTAAACTCATTGAAAAAAAAAATACAGAGTTTGTAACCATATCATTAGAAGGTGCAGGTGAAGTGAGATTTACAATGCACAGTCAGAAGTTATTGGAAAATAGCATCATAATAAGATTAAGCATTTCCCTTATTTTCTACCATATATACAGTTCCAGCAATGTATGTTCATATTAAACCTGGGTAAAGCTTCAAATAATGAGGTCAGTTTATGTGTAAGTGATAGTATAGCCTCAGATTGGCTGGATTTAGACAGCTTTTTAAAAAACTTGTGGCTCTGTCATGTCAGAGATAGCAGATATCCCACAGAAGAAGCTAGATAGCATCTAAATACTCAAGAACGCTCAGTGCTTCCAGGGGGGCTCCTGAGATCACCCAGAATAAATGATGCCTGAAAATGTAAAGTCTGTGGCAGTTTTTTAAACACAATTTTTATTGAAGACGTAGCGCCGCTTTACAAAACAAACAGTAATAGACAAGAAGGCGGGAGGTGGCCTTATGGAAAGAGAAGCTATAACAGCTTATTTCAGACAGAGAAAAAAGCTCAAGGACTGAACCAAGGACCAGTGGAAGGATTATTTTAAACCGCTCTAGTATATGCCAAGCGTTAATAGCCTGATAAAAACTTGTTAACATTTATGCAGAAGAACCCATAAAATTTAAAAATAGCATTTATAAAGAGTACAGAATAACAATACATTATTCTGACTATTACAGAATAATAATACAGATACTGTCATGAAATCAATATCCTTAGTATCCTTATTTTCTTATTATATTGTTTTATGTACTTTAATAATGAAGGCTTGTAGAGCAAGGCCACTTTTGACTCACAAACTAAGTGCTCAGCCAGACTAAAAAACAGGAAGTTTTAGTGCACAGGCATATTAATAGATAAGACACAGAAAAGAGGAACTTTCCATATAAGCAATGTTTGAAACTGTGTGTGACGTGTGTGACGTCTGAAGTACAGAAATAACACCATATAAGACACATGTTGAGCTAAAAATGTTAGAGCGCTTGCAACTGGCGTTTGAGCTGTGCAGGGGTCTCTCTCTTCCGGAAGATGATTGAATAAAAAGAAATATAGATGTTTTAACACACTATGAGTCGGTTTTCTCTGTTCTATCATGGGGACAAAAGAATCGGGGTTAATAATACAGAGCGCTATGATAAATTGGAGCCACTCCTGCATGGTAAACATCACGAGGCCAAGAAGCGAGAGCAATGACCTGCGCTCTGTGTCAATTATTTATTGTATTCTTATCCCAACACTAACAGCTCTCCTAAATGGCAAGAAAAGTTCCTTGCTTAGAGTTCTCCGTTGAAAGCTTTGGGCAAATAGTGATAATAGTAAATGGCAGTACTGCTGTGCTGTCTCTGATTGAAAACTTAAATGGAAAAGAAGGTTGCATGGCTATTTGAATGTTTGTGGTCATGATACATGGTAGCAGGCAGGTTTCAAGAGACCTGCCTGCTACCTTTAAAAGACCTTTAAAAACCCTTTTTGTTTAAAATTTAGGTTTTGTTTAATTTCCAACAGATGAAAATATCAGAGGGACAACTCAGGGTGAGCCATATGGAGAGGCAAGGTTTGGATGGTTTGGGAATGTGCAGAGGAGGGAGGGTGGTAAATATTAATTAATATTTTTTGTAATGAAAAAATATACCTCAAACGTTCTTTATGAAATGAGTGACTCTTTTGTACTGACTGTCATTTCTTTTTTATTCACAGCCTATAGAGCATTTAAACAACAGAAGCAGACCCAAAGTGCTTTAGAGATAAGAACATTATCATTCCAGGTTTGCACCCCCGCCTCTAGAGGTCAAAAGTATTGATAATGGTATTTGTAATACTGGCCCTGTATTTACTTCGTATCGGATCTATACAATAATTTGTGGTATTGCACAGCACCAGTTCATGGATGTTGTGAACGAGGACATACAGGAGGGTGAAATTAGAGCAGTGGAGACACTGCTCCTCAGTGGAGACACCTATAGGAAGCAACTGAAAGAAAAAGACACAGTAATATGTACACAGTTCAACCTTTTGGTTTTCATATTATTTATATCTTTAAAAAATAATAATGATAAATAAAATAACGAAACAAAACCATTAAAATAAACGAAAAGACTAAAGAAATAAAGCAAACCTTTATAAACTCACTCCGGCATATTTTCTGTTTGGCCCACAGTTGGAGGGATCTGATTGGCTGCAGTCCGGGCCAATGAAAGAGAAGAGCGGCAGGCGCGTGAAACATGGAGGAAAGCTTGAACCAAAACAGAGATTTTGCCTACTGTAAAAGCTAAAAAATGCGATTTAAGACGATTTATTTTTCCCGCTATTACTGAGTGAAGGTTCTGTGAAGGCGTTTTGTGAGCGGACAGTGAGAGTGAAATGTCTCTGAGTGCTACGTGTGAGTCGGTGTCTCAGAAAAGGACTCTGTCGAGCCTCCTCGGTGAGTTTGACAGCTGCACCCACCGTCAACACTGAACACGAAGATAATAAAAACGTCTTGAAACAAGCCTTTCGTGCAGTATTATTATTATTATTATTTTTTTGTCTTCCTAGCTGGTCGTGAGCTGAAGAGGCCTAAGCTGACAGATGCCCAGAGGCTGCAGGAGGCAGCGATCCAGCTGTTGGAGCAGCAGCAGAACATCTGCAGCCTGTTCAGAGAGGTCGGGGTGAGTGAGGGGAGAGAAGCTAAGGGCCTACACTGAGTCATTTCATTAAGATTTTATTTAGGCCATTCTGTAGACTGAACATGTAACAACGCACAATGTCACGACTGTCAGGAGTTTAAAAGAGAAACGATAACCTTCAACTTGGAAACACAAGCACAGAATGATTGCAGGAAGTGCATGAAATGCTTTTAGAGATAAAAAAAAAAAGAAGCAGTATCACTCTGCACTATTTCGCAAATATCACATATATGTTCTTTCACACTTTTTGTAGCAATCTGAGACATGCAACCTGTCCTCTCATCAGGATGGAGAGAAGAATCAAGTGGCGTCCGAAGGTCTCTCATCCACCATCACTGGGTCACTGCTGGGTGAGACGAGCACTCTGAAATGCTCTCTGAGCTGTACGCCGCTTTTGTTAAATGTGTGGAAAGCTGCTGCTTTCTACAATTTCACTCTCCAAAACTGAAGCACTAACCTTTTTGGATGGCCTGTACACGACAATAAGCCATAATACCAGTCAGATAATTCATTTAAAAGTTCTCCGGTGAGCACCAACAGCATAAACATAATGAAGAGGTCTTATTCACTGACTCCAGGTATTACAGGTGATCCCAGGTTGTAGTGCTTAATATATTGTCTTGGCAAGCTGAAGGATGCTGGTTTGATTCCAGCTGGAGGCATAAATCCCCTCTGGGGTTGCGTCAGTTCAGTGTAAAAAACTGACAAATCAAACATGCATTTTCCTGCTGGGGTGACCCCTCGTGACACCTTACTAGGTAAAGTGTTTTTATTGCTCTAATACAACTATTGTCACTTTAATCAGTTATGTTTGTGTCTGCTGAAAGCAAAACATCTGAATTTTTCTTGATTATACTGTACTGTAGTGCACAGCTCTCATCAATGATGGGATTCAATGGCTGAAATAAGCTCATTGCTGCAGTTACCAGTGAATCTGTCTTGAAACATTTGCGCAAACACATGAAGTGTTGTGACGCACCCAAAATTTCTTTGTACATGTACAATGACTATAAAGGGCTATTCTATACCTCTATTCCACGGAA